ACGGAAACGGAAACGGAAACGGTCGATTGGCGCTTCACCCACATGTGTGGTCGTTTGATGTGTTGAAACACACGTGAGGTTTGATTTTCCATTGAGAGAAAAATAAGATAATAATAATAAAAAAAAGAGAAAAAAAATCGAGTTTCTTTGTTTCCTTGTTTTTTTTCTTTTTTTGGGCGAAATTAATTTTTTTTTGGTGTGATTAATAAATATTGGAGGTTTTTTTTGAAGGGTTTGAGGAATGAAATAGAGAGAGTATAAAAAAAAACGCCCATTTGAGTTTATTATATTAATTAATCACTCCTATTGTTATTTATTGTAAGATTTGATTAATTTGCACGATAATTAGAGATTTAGAAATAGATTAGGAATGAAACAGTGAGAATGAATGGATTAAGGTTATGTTAATTATGGAGATTAATATAAGTAAGCAAAAAAGGGGTGTGTGGGGCCCTGTTCTTATGAGTTCCAGGTGTTGGCTCAGGTGGGTGGCTCCCACTGCATGCTCTTTGCCTTAACCAATGTACAATGTCACTGACAAGCAGGTGGATCATTCTCTCTTCTTTTTCTTTTTTTTTTAATTTATATTTCGGTTTTTAATTCGAAGCTGCTGAGGTGGAAATTAGGAAATTAGAAAATTTGGTGTCACCTTCTGGATGGGTCCCACCGGATCATTTATCTGTACCGTTCATTTCTGTGTGGGCCCCACTCCTTTTCTTTTACACATGATTGAGTCTGGTTTCCGTAGGGCCGGGAGCAAAAAAGAAAATGGAATCTGCAGAGCTACAGCCTAAAGCCATTTTTTTAATTTACTCTCTCTACTAATTATGTTTTTTTTTTAATTAATTAATTAATTATATTATGTCCACGTAATATTTGTCGGCTTGTTTTTGCGTCAGAACCCAAGATTTTCCCTCTCTCTCTCTCTACTTTTAGGGAAAAAAGCCGCCAATATTATACCTACAAAATCCTTAACATTTTTCTTATTTATTGCTAATTTGAATGTTATTTAAAATATAAATTAAATAAAGTTGTTTGTATTAGGGCAGGTGTCGAAGGAGGAAGGCATTTGAGGGGTTGATCAAAATAGACCATACAAGGACTTAAATATTTTTGGTGATGTAATGAAGAGCGTGACAATAACCTTTCGAAAATTAAATTAAGTGTTGGAATAGAATTGTCAGGATAAATTAGATAGGTCTCCATCCAACATATGAGGCACATGCATATGTGTGTTCATATGGTCCCAAACCCAAAATCAATACGAAAAAAATAACCCATAATTGTTCAAGGCACCCTCCTCTTTGGGCCGAACGAAGTCAAGATGTAAGATGAGTTGAATCTTTATTTTTCTGTTGTTGTAGCTGCCTACAAGTTAAGAATTGTTAAGACTTCGAACCCATGTATAGCAGTCAAACATTGATTTGAGAGCAAAACAAAACATTACTATTTACATATTTTTAAATTTTAAAAAAAAGTCCAAAAATAAAAATTTAGAGAGAATAATATCTAATGATATCAAAGCCAATTATTCTACGCCAGAGTGCCGGAGTGGGAGACTAAAGCTATGAAAGCTGGATTAGTTAGAAGAGAATAAGGAACCTTGAATGAAAAGGCCCCGTTAAGCGTGACGGGGAGATGAGTTCATGGGCGTTTGAGCTGCTGCGCATGTGTGGGTGGCACGCTCCTCGATGGTCGCTCTGTTGTTTCTTTTGTATGCGCCTTAATGCATTTCTCTTCATCCTCGTGTACGCCACACGTTGGGTTTCATCTTTTATTTTAACCATTTATACCAACTCCAAAATTATATCTTTCTACTACTTTTGTTTAAACATCATGTACATATAATACCTCGAGTCTAGTTTAGTCAACCCATACGTGTATATTTATAAATTCCAACTGCATAAAATGTGAGCGTGAAATATTTCTTAAGATGTGAAAATCTATTTCTAGTAGACACGTTAAATAAATAACAAATTAAGAGGACATTGGACCCTTAAGGGGTGGATTGCCAGGTCTCACGTATGTAACGAAAAGAGGAATGAAACATTCCGTAGAGTGTGAAGACCTTTCCCTAATAGACATGTTTTAAAACCGTGAGATTAACGAGAGAATATGTAACGAAATAAAGCGGAGAATTGATTAGGGTGTATTTAGTATTTATGGTAACGTGAGTGTAGCTTGGTGATTGGGTTCAAATATGGGATGTTTAGATGTGTTGGAGTAAAAGATTAGGTTAAATGAAGTAGGTGAGGTGTGAATGAAGCATTGAAGAAGGCCAAGTCATAGGCCAGGCAAGCAAACAGAGGTGCATGAAAATTGAGATGGAGAGGAAGCGACAAAATGGGAGCGTGTCGACCATGCTACCGGTAAGTCGCCGGCCACGTGCTCTCCATGGTCTAAAACCTCCCCGCCACACGCCCAGTTGAGATCAGGGTGTGCCAGCCCTAATTTCCCACCATTTTCTTCTATTTCGTTCTTTCATAATCTACCAGTTTCTCCCCTTTCTCCCTCTCCCTCTCTCAATTCCCCTGTTCCAAACATCGCCTGCTTCTTTGGATCCTAGGTATTGTCTACTGTTTCTCCAATGATTCTCATGAATTTTTCTTTTCCTCCTACCTCTCTTATTGCGTATGATTTTTTTTTTCCTATAATTTTCTTGTTAATTCGCCTCTTCTTTTATGTCGAATGTGGATTTTCCATGTCCATTCATGTGATCTTGTATGTCGAAAAGGATTTGTTTGATCGGGCCTTAAGTTTTACATTGTTCATTTGGAAATTGGAACGTGTTTCCGGCTTCAAGCTGTTTGCTTCGATTGTTGAGATATATTCATGGCGAGTATTATAATTGCAGAAGTCTGTAGTAGATCATGGTTTCTGAAGTTCCTTCACAGCCGGTTGTCGAAACTGATGGTCCAGTTGTGCCTTCGATATCTAGGTAACTCTTGATGATTCTTGATTGGAATATTTTACATTGTCGATGTTCTTAATGTTTCAAATTATACTGCTTCTATCGTTGTATCAATCGTTTAAAGCAGCGAATTAGTAGTTGATCATAACAATATAGAACAAAAAGATGGAGTTCATTTGGCAATAATGTTTCAAACTAAATCATTTAGCAGTATTGAGGTTAAACTTTGAACAAGCTCTTTATGTAGGAATTGTCCTGGTAAGAAAAATAAGGTGAAAGTTCCTAAGAAAATTCACAAGGCTGAGAGGGAGAAGTTGAAGCGCGAGCATTTAAATGATCTCTTCCTTGACCTCGCAAATGCACTTGGTAATCTCCGTTTCTGTCAATTTATGATGATATTGCTTTACTGATTCATTTAGTTTTTACCCTTTGGGGCAAGTGTCTTTTTAAGGTGTACACCTATTGCGACACATTGTCAACTTTTCTCATGCTTGGAATGATGATCTGCAGAGCTGACAGAACCGAACAATGGAAAGGCAGCTATATTATGTGAAGCAAGTCGACTGCTCAAAGACTTGTTTGCTCAGATTGAGTGCCTCAGAAAGGAGCAGACATCGTTATTATCTGAATCCCGATATGTAAGGCTCTTAAAAGGAACTCATATCTAACTAGTTGGCTTGGTTTCTTTACCTACATGATGATAAATTGCATGAATTATTGCACAGGTCAACATTGAGAAGAATGAGCTGCGAGAAGAGACATCTGATTTAGCATCTCAGATTGAGAAACTGCAAAGTGAGTTACAATCAAGAGCTGTACGTTCTAAACCAGACTTAAATATTCCCCCACCTGCAGAATTTCTGGAACAAGAAACAACAATATCAAATTTCTCAGGGCAATGCCTTGGATTGCCTGTTATGGAACCCACAGTACAGCAAACACATGCCGTTTTTATCATCCCGGTGCGGCCAGATCTCCCATCTTATCCAGCAACGGATGCAGCTCATGCCCCAACAATGCCTACCTCACATGTAAGCAAACCACATCCCAGATATCCAATGCCAGCCGACTCGTGGCCTGCTGGACTTCTCAAATTGTCACAAACAAACGAAGCAGGTAAAGAGGTTTTAGGCATTGGTTGCAAGAGCATTGCAGATATGGGAGAAAGAGGTTCTGACAGAAGTGAGAGCTGATTTTTTGTAGTGACCTCTTGTGTGTCTATAACTCAGGTGCCCTCAGTAGATGATTTTTGGTATAAGTTTAGAGTGACCAATGGATTCACCTGTGTTTTAGGAACTGTCTATTAGTAGGATGTTAGATTCGAACAAAGTTCGAAACATGGTCTGGTTTCTGGCTTTCTCCCACATAGCGTCAAAGAACCAAAGCCATCCTTAGATCGAATGGCATACTTTAGAATCTTTAGTTTTTGACCCTGAAACAAGTTATCTGTACCAAAGCTGGTAAGTTATGAAATAAAAGAAGATATTGGGATGATGTGAACAAAATTGCTGAGATCTTACGTTATCTCGGGGAATACGAGGCTGACCACCAGTTTCACTTTGTTCGGAGCTCTTGGAATTTTCCCAGTCAAGCTCAAACCACAAGCTTTTTGGGAATCTGAGACAAAAAAAAGGCAATATTATGAGTTCGAGAAGGCTTACTTTACCTCCCTTGTCACTATGTGGAAACTTTTACTTGATGGACCCTTTGCTTTCACCGCTCCCAAAGGACCAAACGAAGAACAGTTCTTAGCTTCTCAAGTATTCAAATATCGAGATTCAGTCATGTTTTTTTGAAGTTATTTCATCTGTAAAGTGGTTTATTTGTAATAATAACATTTAAGTATGTTTTTTTTTGAAGATCATTGCCACCACCAAAATGTTTATTGAATTGTAATATTTTATATAGTTCTACCATGGATAAGAGATTAAACCATCGACCTTAGAAGGTAATTAGTATATCTATTTGTATGATAACTTCAAGTTAAAAGCTAACATTCTTTCGTATTAAGTTTGTAACACTACACGTTGTGCTTAAAGTAAACGGATAGATTAGATGGATTAGATGGTGAGAGTTATACCAAACCTCCCATTGGTTTATCCGCTAATTTCTTTTGATCACTTCACTTCCAGCACTCGTCTAATGATTAGGCGCCAAGTTCCAGTCTTCCCAGTCACTCTCTATCTCTCTCTCTCTTTCAGGATTAACGAAGTGGACTGAACGCGAGAGCTTTACGAGAAATCGATTAGGGTACTGGTCCACAATCATTCGAGGGTAGCGGGTAAATTTTCCGAAATGGGATCTGGAGCGGCCAGTTTTTTCAAGGTCGTCCTAAAAAACTTCGATGTTCTTGCCGGGTATGTTTCTCTCCTCGTTCTTTATTTTGCCACTCTGGGTTCTGATTACTCCATGTAAGGGATCATTTTTTTCTTAGAGGGTTGACCTTGCCATGGCTGACAAGAAAACTTCCGAGGAATAGACAAATGTTCTACCTGTTTTGAAAACGAAATGGCGGATTTTGTGAAAAGAGAGCTGCCCCAACGGTAGCCTAAGAGGACCCGTGTTCTCTGAAGAAAGATTCCCAAGTATTGTGATACTATTCTGGGTTGTGCCGCCAATTTGTGCTTGCCAGGGCTCCAGGTTAGGAGGATGGGTCCTAAAATATACTGTAGCCACTACTAGAAAGTTGATATCAACTCTGCTAACTCGGTCAATATCTGAAGTCTGCACGATGCAGTTGAGATGCTGCACTAAAACCTAAAGTAAAGTGTGCAGTTTCTTGCAATTACCTAAGCAATCTTTTACAATCCTGCCAATGAGTAGCAGTTGGGGCACTGAAAACTGACTTAGCTTCTTCACTTTAGATCTGAGGCCTTGTTGTTAGATATTGTAGGCTGTAGCCCACTAAACCTGCCATGTAATAGTGAAGAATCTTTGAAAGGAACTCTCCATCTAGCCCCGTTGGTATAAGACATGGTTTTGCTGTTGTCTTTCAGTTTTTGCTTGTGGATCTTGAGTATATTTGGTCTGAGAAAGATGAAGAACATTCATCACTGCAGTGTAGCTCAAGACCAAGAATGTAGCTCACTGATCCAATACTTTTTAGAGCATTAGTCTTCTGAGTTCTGAAATGGTACCTTGAAACATAGCTTGTGAGATCCTAAGGCAATCAAACTAGGTTTTAGTTATGACCTTGACAATGGCCTTGTGTAGCTTACTCATAACACGTGTCCTGTCAAGGGACTATGAAACCAGCTGGTTGTTTACTTATCATTCATAAGTAAATAAGACTGTCATCTTAGAGGCTTCACAACAGGACTAATTATATAAAATTAATGTTAACCTGGAGTTTGTTGAAACCCTTTGGTAACCAAACAAGCATAGGATCTATTAACCGTTTATCCCGTCGACATTCATTTTAACCTCAGACAACCAGCCAAAGAAACAGGAGGCTTTCCATATGCATACCTCAGCTATTTTCTTTTCCACTCAATTTAAACCATTTTCTGATTAAACCGGAAAATTCGTAACTTCATTCCTGGGTTTCATTTGCAGGCCTCTGGTGAGTCTTGTTTATCCTCTGTAAGTGGTTCTGCTTCTTTGTTTAACATGCTATCCTTTTCATCAATGACGCCTTTAAACTGTTTGAGAGTTGTAATCCCAAAGTTGTTGCTCTGATTTTTGCTAATTGGCAGATATGCATCAGTTAGGGCCATTGAAACAAAGTCTCATGTGGACGATCAGCAATGGCTTACTTACTGGATTCTATATTCTATGCTCACCCTCTTTGAGCTTACATTTACTAAGGTTCTCGAATGGTAAATTTGCTTCTTTAGTTTAGAAATCACATAATGCTTGTTTTATCATGTCGTTATGTGGTTTTCAATCTGTGAAAATAAAAGCCTTTCTCTCAAGTCTATATGTGAGTTTTTTTTTTTTTTTTTTTTTTTTTTTTTTTTTTTTTTTTTTTTTTTTTTTTTTTTTTTTTTCCTATGATGTTAGCTAATTTGTTAGAGAACATAAATTGAAATTTCAAATCACATATAGTGAGAGATCCCATATTGGTTGGAGAGAGGCAAACATTTCTTATAAGGGTGTGGAAACCTCTCCCTAATAAACACGTTTTAAAACCTTGAGGGGAAGTCCGAAAGGGAAAATCGAAAGAGTACAATATCTGCTAGCGGTGGGTTTGAGCTGTTACAAATGGTATCAGAGCCAGGGACCAGGCGGTGTGCCAATGAGGACGTTAGGCCCCCAAGGGGGGTGGATTGTGAGATCCCACATCGGTTGGAGAGGGAACAAAGCATTTCTTATAATGGTGTGGTATTCTCTCTCTAGTAGACACGTTTTAAAACCTTGAGGGAAAGCCCAAAGAGAAGAATATCTGTTAGCGGTGGGCTTGGGTTGTTACAAATGGTATTAGAGGCAGGTATTGAGCAGTGTGCCAGCGAGGATGTTGGACCCCAAAGGGATGGATTGTGAGATCTCACATCAATCGGAGAGAGAAACAAAACATTCCTTATCAGGGTGTGAAAATCTCTCTCTAGAAGACATGTTTTAAAACCCTAAGGGAAAGTCAAAAGAGGACAATATCGACTAGAAATGGACTTGGGTGGTTACACATATGGTTATGATAATTTTCTTTCGGGATAATTTTCAGATGTATATCGGTGCTTTTTTGGTGTACTTTTGAAATGCTGGTATTCATATTCATTATTATTTGGTGCATCTAAATTGGAAGCTAGTTTGTTTTGTTATCTTGGCCATGCTCTGGATGCTTTAAGTCCATTTTGAAGATTATCTGGCTCTACTTGTTATGGTCTTTTACTTGTTTTAATTTTGGGCTGATGACTCTGAAGAGGGCCTCTGATGCATTTCTTCCCCCCCTAAATCTTCACAAACAGGATCCCTATCTGGCCATATGCAAAGTTAATTTTGTCCTGCTGGTTGGTCATTCCATACTTTAGTGGTGCTGCATATGTGTACGAGCATTTTGTGAGGCCTCTATTCATCAACAAACAGACAGTTAACATTTGGTATGTTCCAAAGATGAAGGACTTCTTCAGCAAGCCCGACGACATCCTAACTGCTGCTGAGAAGTACATCGCCGAAAATGGTACTGAAGACCTCCAAAATATCATCAACAGGGTATAATACACGCTCATGACTCAGACTCAACTCTCAATTGGTTGCTTTAAAAAAAATTCTGAATTAGTGATCGTATGAATGAATCAATGCAGGCGTACGCAAGCAACCCATCAATTAGTTTAACTGACTTGCTGATACATATATGAATGCATTTTCATTTTGTTTCTGTAGGCTGATAAGGCTCGGACAAGTAATCGTTACATGAGCTATTCAGAGGGTCTCGACCATGACCATGACCATGAGTACTGGCACTAGTCTATATCATGTGTTGGGAGGGGGGCAGAAGAGGATAATGTTTTGGCTGTCAACAGTTGAGGCTGTGTGATAGGGTTTGTTTATATGCTTGTGGTAAAATGCTTTGTATTGTTCATATGAAACTCTGAAAGATATAAACTTCTAACTAACTAGATGGTCTATATTATTATGACTTCTTGAGCTTTGATGTCCTTTTTTGTTCTGCTGGTTGGGGAAAAAAAGTGTTCATCGGCTTGGGTTGAGTTTCTTTTTAGATAAGGACAATTGTTTCGGTCTTAAATGTAAGAGTCTACCACCTCTAACCGATATTGTTCTCTTTGAATTTTTCCTTTCGAGCTTCCCTCAAGGCTTTTAAAACGTGTTTGTTAGAGAAAGGTTTCTACACCCTGGTAGAGAGTGCTTCGTTCTCTTCTCCAATTGATGTGAAATCTCATCATCCACCCCTTTCTGGACCTAATGTCCTTGTTGACATTCATTCTCCTCTCCAATCGATGTAGGATCTTATATTAAATTTATTCTATCTAAATAACTCTTGAAAAGTAATAGATCTAACCCAACCTAACTCAACCCAACTCAACTATAAAACGTTTGAGTGGAGTAACTTTAGGTGTGGTTAAATTAAGTTTCATTTTAGTTTATAGCTTTAAAATATATTTATTAGATATGTTTTTACACTCTTATCAGAAATGCTTTGAGAGGGGAAAAAGAATATAACAATATTTTAATAAAAGTTAAAAAAAAGAAAAGAAAAAAATGAAACGTTACCTCTCTAGGTTAGTGGGTTTTTATCCCGACCCATGTTTTGTTTTATAGGTTCAAGACACAAAAAAGATGCTCTTTCTTTTAATTAATTAATTAATTAATTTAACTGTGTTCCCACGTGCAACTCTCTCTTCTTTCTAAGCTTCCCTTTCCACCGCCCACTTAAAAACATTAATTTTTAATCACACAAATCCTGTCTCAAAATCCCCAATTAATAACCCATCTTTTTATTTATATTAATCTCTAATTAATTCACGCTCATTCAAACTTTGTTTACAACACAATCATTGCTACCAATTACCTCACCATATATACATATATACATATTTATATACTCTTACTTCAAATTATATTATATGCTATATTACGTAGCATTAGGGAATACAACTCCAATTTTAAACTATATTATATATCATTCTTTTTTTTGGTGGTCTTTTCGAGTATACTTTTTGTTTCACCGAGAATTTTAATTCAAAAAAAAAAAAAAAAACACGAAAAAAATAATGATATNTTATTCCTATTAATGAATTATTTTTTTAAAAAAATAATAGCTAATATGCTATTAATAATTTGAAATATAATATAATATAATGTTTTGAGAGTAAGATTATTAAAGAAGACAAATGTTAAGCATATACAAATGAGGATGAATATAATAAATGTAACATAATTAATAAAGCTTATTAAATTAAATTAAATTAAATTAAATTAAACCCTAAATCCTGACACACTCTTGGCTGTCCATTTGCATCCAATTCATGTGCCCCGGGATGCTTGCTGAGCCACTTCTATTCTATTTCTTCCTTTTATTTTTTTTTATTTTTTTATCTCTATAATATGAAAATAAGATTTATGAGATATTTAATGTGATAAGATGTAGATGCTAATATATCTCTTTCTATTAAATATATAATATTTACATTTTATTACTTTATAGTTGACTGGTCAACTAATTAATTCTCAATTCACCCGCATACATCCAACACTACCCACTATAATATAATATTATTATTATTATTATTTTCGAAAATACCATATATTATTTCTTGCAATATCTAAGTTCAAGTTTCACATTTATTAAAAATAATTGCATTACACCAATCAAAAATTAGCTATTAAATACCGTAATTCAATTCTTATGGAATTTTTTCGTATTTAAAAGACTTTTATTATAATAAATGATAATTGTCATTATATGCAAACTTCATAAGGCGCAAATACTCGTCCCAACAACGTGCAAAGTTGATAATACATACCCTTAATATGTTGGCTCTCATATGCTTGTGGGTTACCTTATTGTATTAGCACACTGCCTATGATGTAGTCATCAATCATTACTTGCTTGTTGTCCTCAAAGCTTTGACACTTTTCCGACTAGTGAAATGCAATGATCGGTCCGTACGTCCTTTAGTTTAGGAGATTTTGGAGTTGAAAAACCTTCTTCGAGTAACTTACAATGAACGTTCGGTAATAGTTCACAAACTCTAAAAACGATCTTAGCTCATTCCGTTTCCTGCCCATTTGTCGTGGAAGAAAAATCGTACTAAATGTAGATCCAATTTTTTGGTTTGAATTAAAAAGTATATAATATATATAATAAAAAAAAAGTGAGTTGATTCTGTGTCTAATCAGTGTGGAAAAGGGCATTTAAAAAGAGGTAAGGGGTGTGGTTTTTCCCATGCAATTTGTTTTTTGCAGTCTTCAAAACAAACCCCATTTCATTACTACTTCTAGTTGAGTGATCTACACACTTTGGTCTCATCTTTTTTAGTGTTCTTCAGTTCATCACATATATATATACAGAAGATGTCAAGCAGAAGATCCAGATCTAGGCAATCAGGCAGTTCAAGGATCACCGATGACCAAATTAACGATCTCGTTTCCAAGTTGCAGCAACTTCTTCCCGAGATTCGCCACTCGCAATCTGATAAGGTGACACAAAAATAAAGCTTCTCTAATCTCTCGTCTTCTTCATACTCAATAAATAATCGTCCATTTTGTTCTGATACCATTTTAAATTGATAGGTTTCGGCAGCAAAAATATTGCAAGAGACGTGTAACTACATAAAGAACCTACACCGAGAAGTGGACGATCTAAGCGAGAGACTATCGGAGTTGTTGGCATCGTCGGATACTGCTCAAGCTGCCATCATTAGAAACTTACTGATGCAATAGAGACAATGATATTTTCATATGACAAGACAAGAACACATGAAAGTAGCTTATTAGTTTTGAGGTTTTTGCTATGTCTGGTTTTCGACGTAGTTGCTGTTTTCAATGCTCTTTCAAAGACATACTCATTAAGCTCTTCTCAATCAAGCCTTTATTATTATTATTCATCAATAAAATTCATTCTCCTTCTTTTACTTTATTTTTATAAATAATAAAGAGGAATTTTAGTAATCTATACATTTGTAAAACATAATGGAACGTCTAAACGTGTTTATCATTACACTGTATGGTATATGATACTATGATTACATGGTAAAATCATCACGATCCATCACTACAAATGTGTACTATGATTATGGTCTGCAATGATCGAACAACGATGTATTTCAGCCATTTGTTTATGCAATCTGCAATGGTGATATATTCTCAGATAACGAAGAAAACTACATGATGAGAAAACTACATGTTAAGTAACGAAAATATCTTTATTGATATGAGACATTTTGGATAACAAAAAATAAAGTCCAGACAATTTATGCTCAAAGTATCCCTAATTCATAACCGTCAGTAATAGTAAAAAATAAATAAATAATAAATAAATTTATCATCAAACAAGTTCAAAGACATTTGTTTGGGCATTAGAAATAATTTTTACAAAGTTGAAGAGGTGGGTCACTTTTGCAATTACTTTGAAAATGAAGGGTATTTTTGAGAAAACGTTTTCCAGGGTAATGTCAAGAACAGAATATCATAGCATCGTGATTTGACCTCCTCCGGTACCGATTCAACATTTCCCTTCGCAATTCCTATTTTCTACGTGTTAATCACCACATCTCTCCGATTGCAGACTCAAACTCTTGCTCAGGCACCAGAAGGGAAGAAACAAGATCAAGGAGAAGGTCCCAGAAGCCAATCGAGAAGCCAAATTCAAGAGTTCGGAGAGGCATTTTCATGCCAGCTTCCGCCAATTAATCAAACCCCTCTGGTATTAATGATCGGGAAATTATCTGTGATTCAGATTTATGCTCAATTTCTCCGACGATCAGCGTCTTGGTATGTCTCTCTTCGCTGAAACATTAATTTTTCTTTTTTGTTTTTGACAGAATTGTAGAAAGTGGGTTTGGAGTGAGGATGGTGTTGGTGTTGGCTTTGGGGGATTTACATATACCGCATAGAGCCCCCGACCTCCCCGAGAAGTTTAAGTCTATGCTTGTTCCTGGCAAGATCCAGCACATCATCTGCACTGGAAACCTTTGTATCAAAGTATGTTCAAATCAAATCTTCTTTCTGGATTTTTTTTCTTTCCAGCGACTTCTATTGTGGTGCTTGGTGTCCTGAATTGTTCTTCTTTTCGGTCGCGGAATGTAATATCTTACTGGAACATTTTATCTGCCTATGTTGGTGCATCTGGAAGACCATTTAGAATCAACTTCCAATACATGTTAATTGACAGAAACACCATTAGACTATGTTTTGATTTACTAAATCCACTATTGTTTTCTATAAGTTGTCGGGTTACATTGTGGCTTATGAACTCTAGGAAACGTATATTAGATATATAAACTACGTAGAGTAATGTGTCACCCCCTTAATTGTCGAACTCTTAACTTTTCATGTCAATCTGTCATATCCTGGCATTGATTCTTCCCCATAGCATTAATCCTACTGATGATCCTACTAAATCTTGGGTCTGATTTCAAATTTTTTTTTCCTTAGCTTGTGTTGTGTATTTTTCTTCAATTAGTACGTAATTCTTTTGTTTTTTATTTGATGCTGACTATATCATAATTAAGTCTCCCAAGGTTCCATCATCCAAGTAAGTGAAGAGGCTATGCTGTTAACACCCTTTTGTACCATTAGATTTGTTCAAGATTTGGATGACTTTCTAAGGGAATATGCAGTGAACTGCACAAGTATCTTGGTATTCTGTTGTGGTGACTGTAACGACACTAACCTAGGGTAGCAGTTCAGTTACCTGTTTATCTATTGATTGAAGTGCTTAGCTAACCAAAATTTAAGCTCACCCCAATCTTGAATTTGAACTGCAATAACCAAAGTTTCTCCATTGTGTGTAATGGACCTTTGGTTATTTTAGTTCTAAACGGAATTTTTACAACTTTTAACAGTGAACTTTATTTAATATTTTCTTGTGCTTTAAGTCCAAATGCTAAGCTTAATGATACAATTTATAACAGCCCTAGCTCACCGCTAGCAGATATTGTCTACTTTGGCTCGTTACGTATAGCGGTTAGCCTCACGGTTTTAAAACGCGTTTATTAGGGAGAGGTTTCCACACCCTTATAAGGAGTGCTTCATTCCCCTCTTTAACTGATGTTGGATTTCACATAATTGATAGAAGATCTTAGATGTAATGAAATAGGAAACTCTGGATTCAGACGCCTATTTAGGGAAACTTGCTTGTACTATATATCTCACGATTTAATAGAAAACACCAAGTTCACGTTGTGTGAGCATTAGCCTCTATTTGAATCTCTGTTCATCATATATGAGTTGAGACTTTTGGGGATTTGATCATTTTGTTTAGCACCAACTTGCATACAATTTTGTTTAATTTATTCGTACAAGAAGTGGAGCTTTGTTGTTCAATTGGTTTATATTTCCTTGGGAGAAAAATTGTTTGATGGTACAAAGTTTTCTAATGATGTTTCCAGGAAGTTCACGACTACTTGAAAACTATTTGTCCTGATTTGCACATTACACGGGGTGAATATGATGAGGAGACTCGCTATCCCGAGACAAAAACTCTGACTATTGGACAATTTAAGTTGGGTCTGTGCCATGGGCATCAGGTATGGTTTGTTGCACTTTTTCATAATCATCATTCCGTATTTTTTGTTTAACAAATAACAAAATCCATGTTACTAGCCAAAAAATTTGGATTTTCACCATTGTGAGGGATCATTATGAATGGTTCGGATACAGTGCTTCTATTACTAATGGGATTGACTTGAGATTCTGTTAGGTTTCCAAACGCAGAAAACATAAGAAAACACCAAGAAACTAAAGTGTAAACAAGTAATTCAAGATCCCTTCCAAGCCCTAATTCACTCACCAAATGTTTAACTCCCTCTATTTATAACCAAACTCGATATCCACCTCCCAAATTAATGTGTAACATACCCTTATAACATTCCTAGTTGCATTCCTAACACATTCCTGCTTCTTCTTTCCGTATCTAGAATCATAAACTTAAGAGCCTGAATATTGCAACTTCTGATTCATTGTCTCTAGTAACCATGAACAGAAAGTTGCTTTTCAACTAAGTTCAAACAAAACTTCTGCTCTACAGTATTTTCTGCCTGAAGTCAACATTAGCAAATAGGTGGTGTAACATTGTAGAATTCTGCCTACTCTTTGTGGTAGTTCACATCATGTCCATGAATTCTATTTGTTACTGGCTGGCTAGGTTATTCCATGGGGAGACCTAGACTCACTTGCCATGATGCAGAGGCAGCTAGACGTAGACATCCTTGTCACTGGTCATACCCATCAATTTACAGCTTACAAACACGAGGGAGGTGTGGTGATTAACCCTGGATCTGCAACAGGTGCATATAGCAGCATTACATATGATGTCAACCCGAGTTTTGTCCTCATGGACATTGATGGCCTTCGTGTTGTGGTCTATGTTTATGAACTGATCGACGGGGAGGTTAAGGTAGACAAGATTGATTTCAAGAAGACAACCACGCCAGCTCATTGACCGGAACAAATTGGCATTTATATAAACATATATGAAGTTATTTCTTTTATGGAGTTGTGATGCATGTTAAACCATGTTTAATCATGCTGCAAAGATGCTGTTTCTGGGGTAATTGATCCCAGAAAAGAGTTTTAGGTGTTCTGTTCTGGCTCCTTGTGACTTTTTGTGATAGGTGATGAGGTTTGCACAGAAGTCCTTGGTTGTTCTTGTTGTTACCCTGCCTCCATTTCTCGGATTTGAACTCAGTAAAAAATTGGTTTAATCCAGTGAATTCTGATGGAACTACGAGTTCAAATATCATTGTCATGTGTTTGTGGGATTAAATGGGGTATTATTCCCCTTCCTTAGATAAGACTGATTCGAGTACATATCAAAATCTAGTGCCAGAGTTATGACCCTTGGCTACCTAATTCTCCATTAATGAAAACGATGCTCTCCCAAAACGATTATTTTCATAGTCAACGTACATCGGAACCTGGTCTTTCTAACCATCGACTTATATATCGAGCCTACATTTAAACACTCAACTATCCAGAAAAGAAACCATGATGCAGCTACGTGGAGGTTGGGTTCTTGTTTTTTTTTTTTTGTTTTTTTTTTTAAATGAAATATTTTTATGAAATATAGGGATCTCGAAGAAAAAAAAAAAAAAGTAATTTACAAATATTGAAACAAATAACTGTAAAGATAAAAAAGTAGTTAAAAGTGAAACGAAAAGAATTTTATATTGAAACCATTCCATGTTAGGAGTAAAGAAAAAGTTGAAACAGGGCTCAAACTTAAGAATTGAAAAAACATGAATCCAAATCAAAGCAGAAAAGGGCCTCAGTCAGACTGAGTGGTGAACCTATAAACCATAGCATGCATGTAACTCTGCCCCGGGGTCACAATCTGCGAAGGAAAGTTAGGATGGTTCACTGAATCCGGGAACCCCTGAGTCTCCAAGCACATCCCTGCATACTCCTTATACACAGCCCCATCTTTCCCCATCACCTCCTTCAGCTGATTCCCAGTGTAAAACTGAACCCCCGGCTGGTTACTCCACAGCTCCATCTTCCTCCCCGACACCTTCCCCCAAACCTCTGCAACTTTCTTAAAATGCTCGCTCCCGGTGTCGTCCACCACGTAGTTGATGTCGTATCCGCCGGGGACATTCTTAATCTGCGACCCGATCTCTCGTGGGGTTGAGAAATCAAAAGGGGTTCCTGCAACGGGGACGATTTCGCCGGTGGGAATGAGCTCGCCGTCGACGGGAGTAATCTTTGAGGCAAAGAGTTTGATTTTGTGTGACAGAATGTCGCCGCTCGAATGCCCGTCTAGGTTCCAGTAAGCATGTTGGGCAATGTTTACTGGGGTTGGTTTGTTTGAGGGCTTGGCTTCCATTTTTACTCCCAATTTGTTGGTATCGATCAACATGTAGGTTACTGACACCGGCAGATCCCCGGGAAACCCTTGTTCGCCATCGAAACTGTCGTGGGTGAATGTAATGTGGCTGTCGTTCTTATAACTCTCCACCTTCCATATCACATCTCCAAACCCTTTCTCCCCACCTTAACAGCCACAAAACCAAAATTATCAATGAATTTGATCGCAACACATAAAAATGTTGAAAGATGAGGAAAATGAGAGAACAGAGACCATGGAGCAGGTTCTTTCCATCATTAGGAATGAGTTTATAGAAAACGCCATTGATACCAAACTGAGCTCCTCCGATTCTATTCGCCACACGTCCAACAATGTTCCCAAAGTAGGTTCGATCACTCTGCCAAAATAAGCAAAACAAAATCAAACCCTCCATTCATTTTTCCTCTTTTATACAAGAAATGACCCACAAAAGAACACAGAATTGTCTCACTTTAAAGTCATCAACCGATGGGAAAGAAAGAACAACGTCGTCCAACTTCCCTACAACAAATCAAAAAACACAATAAAAAACATGAACAATATCATAAAGTTCGAATGGAATGAATGATCTGAATCAGAACCCGACGAACCATTCTTATCAGGGAGGATAACAGAGAGAATGGTTGCACCATAATTGGTGAGCTTAATAGAAAAATCTCCCCTTCTCAATTCGTAAATGCCAACTTCGCTTCCCTTAACAAACCCAATGGCTGCACAAACAGACAGAAGGATCAATGGGAGAAGTTTCGCCATTTTCCCTTCCTGTGTGTTCGAAGGGGAGAAATGATGTGCCGATTGGCTGAAACGAAGCTCTCAGGATGTTTATATACAGCGATTCATCCAATTCGGGATAAGTTTGTTGGGGATTTGCTGATTTTCTTTACTATTTTGTGGATTGAGATAGAAACTAAATCAAGTTTTGAGTTTTTGTTTCTATTTTTTTCGATTCCAATCTACTCTGACCTATTCTTTCTGGTTCTTTTCCATCTGTACTGCCCATATACGTTGTTGTTGCCATAAATGAAAGGGGGTCTTACCTGATTTTGGATTAATTTCCCGAGTTTGTTTCATTTCCCATGAATGTTATTATTTAAACATCTATTACCAATATATCATACTAGATAAGAACTCCATGTGTATATATATAGATAATTTACCATAAATGGTAGCACCGGGAGAGACATGCTTCACCATTCAAGTACATGTCAAGAGTCTAATGAGATGGGCCACAGCCCAAAATGACATGATTGAAACTTTGATGGAGTAGGTGAGCCATGAGTGAGTGGGTTGCAGAGTGGGAGATGGGCCACAACCTGGGGGTCCACATCCCAAGAGGTCAGTCCACTAGTCAAGCCCAGAGGAGGCCCATTAGACAGGGCTCATCTTCGCATCAACCGCAAAGCCAGGGTTTCAATCTCAACGGCTTACAATTTTAAATTTGAAATTCGAATTTGTGAGCGTATGTTTTTGACCTTTTCTCTTTAAGCATCAACAAGTCGCAGTGGGGCAGGTCAGGTAGCCGTTCCAAACCTTCCTTTCTTCATCACCACCGTCCGTTTTCTTCTTTTTTCCCGCGCCGCGGTTAGGAATTTTAATTCCTCTCTTAATCCTCCTCCACGTGTCATCATTAACGTTTTATAACCAGCGTTTTCTCGAACATTTACACGTGTCGCTTGGACAGCGCGAGTCCTTACATGAAATATTTGAGTTTTAAGATATGGATGACAGTTTCCATACTTTCCCGCCTAATTCCTTTTTACTGTTTATTTCATTTTCTGAATTTGACTATAAATTCCCCACTCCTAGAGCTCCACTCACCGCAAGGATTTGTGTATACAAACTAGAATCATTGTCCCTTTCAATCGGAGCGGGGGAGAGACAGCGGAAAATTCTACTTTTCAATCCCAGATAAACAGAGCCATGGAAGAATCCATCAAGGACCAGCAATCCACTCCACTTCCTGGTTTGATTTGCTGAATCTCCTTGTAAATTTCTCTCTGTTTTTCTAGTTTTCCTTTTTTTTACTCAACTTTTGTGGTTTGAATGAGTTAGGAAATTCAGCGAGACTGAAGCTTCAGCGCTATACTTTGCGATCGGGGACCAAGTCGAAGGAGGAGAAGCCTCCTGTGCGCCAATTGTCGAATCCTGCATCTTCTGCTTCAAAGAGGTGCTTTCTTCTGTTTACTTCTCTGATTTCTCATTGAGGATGTTTATCTGTTAATTGATTTGATATTTTGGGGGCTTTTGTGGATCATCACTTCTCAAACCTTTCTGTTCAGATGAATCTTCTGATTTTATTGTAATTTCCGTTGACCATGCTTGATTATGCTCTCAAATAGCTGTTCTGAGATCATAATAAGAACTTCCCTCATTTATATATTCGTTTCTAACAGTTAGAATGAATGTTGGAAGTGATTGAGAGAGAGAAGCTTACGTTTTTAATGAGTGGAAGGAACGTGAAAATTTTTCATAAGATTTAGAAATGCAACTTTACAGTAATCTGCTGAACCTGAATTAATACATGATCCAAGAAACAATCATAATTGCCTGTTTTATTTCCTTTTATATTTGACGTTTTTTTTAATGCTATTTGATTTGCCTTTTGGAGATGTCATTGCATACTAGTAGAAGAATGTTTCATTTTGAATGTACTTTTTTTCCGTAGTAGTTTCCTTTTTTGGTTTACCTAAGTTCTTCGCTCGGAGATATACATCGGAAATTGCATAGTCCGAATCTTCTTTCTGTTTCTAGTTACTGTCTTCATCTTCAACAAAACTTTGTGCAGTATCTAACTGTTCTGTTCGTCATTAATTCCTGATTCTTCTCTGTTTAAAGCACTTTAGATTAATTGTTCTTTGATTCGAGTTCAGGGCTAGATCTGTGTCCAGTGTGAGTAAAAGTGTTGGAGTCCTTGATCTGTCTGCCAAGGACAAATATGCTAAACCACCAAGAAGGCTGTCTATTCCAACTAAAAATATAAGCCCAACTCGAAAATTAGTTGGCAACATTACGCCAATATCAGAGGTCCGGAGGACTGCCAGAAGCCAGGGGAAAAGTGACACACCTGTTTCTGATGTTTCACGGTCAAGCAAGAAAAAATTCAACCTATTGTCTTCTACATCATATTGGCTATCACAGATCAAGCTCTCTGAAGCTGCATCTAAGCATTCTGTGTCGCTTGGATTTTTTAAACTTGCATTGGAGGCAGGGTGCAAGGTAATAATTCCGTTTTCTTTAATTTTGCCTTGCTCTGTTTACTCTGAAATTTTCGGATTACTGAAGTTGGCTCCTCTAGTAATTATGAAAGCTGTTCTTTTAGTTAACCCTTTACTAGTTCTTAAATTTTTCTTCGCTCTGTAATTATGAAATATAAAACCAGCCTCTTCATCGGATGCGTGAGGAGCTAAAGTCCTACATAGATCGTTGCAACCTTGATGAAAGTGAACAAACAGTGAAAGATTTGCTTGAAAACTACAATTCAGCAGAAGATACAGAGCAACTGCAGGATTCTGAAACCTTTTCTCAGGGACCTGAATTGGGAACAAGGTCTTCAGATGAGGAAGTTCATAGCTCTTCATCCACAGTGGAGCCTAGGAAACTTAAACCAAAATCCTTAAACACCGATGTCACCAAAACTACTACCCCGGTCACTGGGGTCAAGCAGAGAAATCTTACTACAACACACGCGAATAGGGGATTTTGGAATAAAAATGCTGCCCCAAGTTCAACTTCAGAGACAGCGAAAAGATCTGGGAAGAAACAGCCTCATAAGCCAAACAAGCAAGAACCCATTCAAGTAAAGGAAAAGGCCAAGAAACATGGAAAAAAACAGCTCAGCGACAAGGGTGAGTGCAAGAAAATCATTTTATTTCAATCATTTGCAAAAATTTAGCAGATTGATATTTTATATTTATCTGCAGCTCCAGGCAGCACGAGTCCTGAAGAAGATTCAGTGCAATCAAACAAAGAAAATTTGGTATTTCTTTTAACCTCAAGGTCCGCAACACATCTTTAATCCAATTCGTCGCATCATGATGAACTCTTGCCTTTTTTTTTTTTTTTTTTTCTCTTGTCCTTACAGGAGTCTCCACCAATTGAAGTGACATCGACAGAAGAAGTGATATGAAGAAGATTCTAGTGTTTTGTCCCTGTCTCAATAGTTTGTGTGTGTTTTGAAGTAGGGTGATTTCTTTCAAGTACAGGAGAGATGAAGTGAAAGTGTCAACCTGTGGTGTGTGCTTTCTTCTTGTCATAAACATAATAGTTTCTATGTCGTGTCCTCTCTTGCTAGATACATATACAGGAGGTATTACTGTCATCAATTGTATTGAAATCTTTTATAGTTGATCCATTGTTTTTAAAGTGTTTCAGCTTGGAATTTATAGAATCAATGTGCTCTGATAATGATTTTAAACACTCCTAAATATGTGCTTGTCCATGACATGCCTCTCACCCTTTTTCTATCTTCCCGGAGCCAACGATGTAGGCTTGCTTGATTTCTGAGATGATCTTGCAGCTGCTGGGGCATGGTGTGTTGTTGGGGTTGGGTTGAAACTGCTCCATGAATATATAAAAAGTGTAAAGAATGAATAAAAGGAAAAACTACCCTCTATTTTGGTCAATTACTATCCGCCTCATAGTTTTAAAAATATGTATGGTAGGGAGAAGTTTGATGTTGGATCTCACAATCCACTTCCATGAGCCCCAGCGCCTTGGCACATTGCTCGGTGTCTAGCTGTTGTACCGATGTTGTACCGAAATTTGTTGATGGATTATTTACAAATGTCATTATGTTGAATATTTCATCATCCATGCATTTTCACTTGCCATTTTCTCTACTATCCCCAGGAGATGAGGAAGGACTCTTGGAGGTGGAGCATGATAATGATTTAGCTGCCTCAAACCCCTTACTTCCTTGTTGAGAGCTTAAACTTGATGCACACACATTTCCCTGAGGTTCTTCAACATAGCTAGCCATTGGAAGAACTGTCTTGCTCCCATTTCCACCGCCGATGATCGAGCTCAGGGCAGCTGCCAATGCCGAATGGAAATTTGGGTCAGACGTAATCGCCTTAGTTGCTGCCGCGATCGTGTCCAGTAGAGGTGACGACAATGGCGGGGGCGGAGTTGAAGATCTGGAAAATTGTAGATGCCCGGCTTGATTGGCATTGCCATAGCCATAGCCACTGTTACTATTGTTCCAAGGCATGAAGCTGTATTGAGAAGAGCCAAAATCAGGAGGAAACTTTGGGGGATAATTAGTTGAGAGAGAGTTTGAAGTGAGGTCTAAAGTGATTGTGGGATGGTTGAGAGAAGAAGATAGCATTGAAGAGTTTGGCAAGTAGAATCCCTTTGAATTGGTGTTGTTAGAGAGATACGAGTTCAATCCATGGAGATTCGCCACAGCGGTGGCGGTGGCAGAGGTGGCGAATGAAGAAGGGCCCGAGAGGAGCATCGAGGCGGCAGCAGAGGTGGTGGAAGCCATGGCCATGGCTGAAACAGGTAAAGGATGGTTGTGAGTTCCTTCATAGGTGGTGATTAGTATGGATATATCATCAACACTCCTTTGCACCTGCACATTTTCATATATAAACTCTCCTTTTTTATGAAATATATTTTAATTTTCGTTCGCCTAAAAAATAATGGATACGATAGCATATAAAAGACGATATTGTTGGCTTTTATTATTAAAAGTCCGTGACTTTTTATACCGTTTTTTTATAACTATTGTTAGACGGACACGACTCTCCACAATGGTATGATATTGTCCACTTTGAGCATAAGTTCTCATAGCTTTGCTTTGGGCTTCCTAAAATGCCTCATACCAATGGAGTTAGTATTTCTCACTTATATAAACTCATGATCAATTAGCCGATGTGGGACTTTCATCATCCAATACCTCCCCTCGAACAAAGCACGCCTTCCCTTAATCGAGGCACGACTTCTTTTTGGAGTCCTTTGTTCGACATTCGAGGATTTGCCAATCTATTGGCACGGCTAAGTTTAGGGCATGGCTCTGATATCATGTTAGACGAACACGACTCTCCACAATGGTATGATATTGTCCACTTTGAGCATAAGTTCTCATGGTTTTGCTTTGGGCTTCCCAAAAGACCTCATACCAATGTGGGACTTTCATCATCCAACAACTATAATAAATGTTATAATAGAATATGAAATTTAAAGTAAATTACCTGTTTTCTAACGGGACATGAGGGTGCACCTGTGCAACGATAATAAGCTCTAGGGCAAGGATTTCCTTTTGCTGTCTTCTGCCCGTATTTTCTCCACTGGCATCCATCGTTCATCTGCACCAACTGGAATCAAGGAATGAGAATAAAAATTTTACAACCCACTTCATTCCGTTGGATGATTGTTCATTAAAATTAAGAACGACTCCTAACAATGTAGCGTTTAATATTTTAAAACATATGAACCAAATGAAAAGTTTAGCTCATGAACCAAAAGACATGTGCAACTAAGTTTTAGGACGACTAACCGGGGCATCACACCGGGCTCTCACAGAAACCCTAGGCTTCTTGGGAGGATTCTGCCGAGAAACTTCATCTTCTCCGGTGGGGGGCGCCGGCAAACCCTTCATGGATTTACCCGGCGGCCAAATGGGTGTGGTTTCTTCCTCTTTAGCTTCACTATCCGTTGGAGTTTGAGTTTGATGAGTTGATGGGGTCTGAACATTTGTTTCAGCCACTCCCAGAAAGCCCACGTTTTGAGGATCTGATTTTGTTGGTGAGGAAATGTTGTTGAATAATCTTCTTCCTAATGTGAGTGAAACCATTTGGTCCATTTCTTCAACCTCATGGTTATGTATGGCAATTGCAGTTGTTTGTGTTGACTTTTTTGCCTCTCTGGTTTGACCCATTTCATGGAGCTGCCTTTTCAGTGTCTCGTAATTCTTCATTGTTTCATCCAAACATTTCTTTAGCCTCTCGTTTTCTTCCCTTACTTCCCTCATTTCAGCTTTCCTCCTTTTCATTCTTTCTTCATCATGCTGCTCATCCTGTCCATTAAAAAAAAAACATGTTTTTTAGAACTAAACTACATTACGTGCATATTGATATGATATGGTGTAACCCAATCGTCGTTGTGGAAGTAGAAGTGAGATTGATCGTGCTCACACACTTATAAACAGAAATTAAACATAGAGACAAAAATTTATGTGCTTATACAACTACCACACCACAAGTGATAGTCAATTGCTATAACAAAAGTATTTTTCATAATTTCAATTACCAAATCTCTCCTATGACAATGATTCCGACTAAATACAAAATGATAATGACTTTCCAATCCCAAAACAATGTTAAATAAGCATTTATATATGCAAAATACTATTGCCCTATTGTGTTTATCAAGTCACATAGTTTTCGTATTAAAAAAACATAACTGACTAATTATGCTTCCATTAATAACCTTGGGCCAAGTATGAGGATATAGGCCCACAGGAACCAGAAAGCAGGCCGAAAGGCCCAATAAATTAAAGAACAGGGACGAAACTACCGTCGACCACAAGGTCATGGCCCGTGACAAAGGCTGAGTCATCGGAAGCAAGGAAGAGCACAGCATGAGCCACATGACTCGCCTTCAACGCCACACCTTCCACCCTCCACATTCCTCTGTACGCTTTCTCAACCTCCTCCATTCCCATTCCCAGCGCCCTACATGTCGCCGCCGTCGCTACCCCACTCGGCGACACGCAATTCACCCTTATTCCCTTCCCTCCAAGCTGCACGCTCGCCGATCGCACCAATCCCAACACTGCGTGCTTCGACATACAGTAGTCCGTCCCCCGCCTACTCCCGTTCGCTGCCGCCACACTCCCCGTGCACACGATGCTCCCTCTTACTCCCCCTTCAACCATCGCCCTAGCCGCGTGCTTCACGCACGCCGCCATCCCCTTCACGTTCACCTCGAACAGTTTGTCTGAGGCAGAGAGATCCAGGTCCAGGATTGTTTGGTCTTGGCTGCTTAATACTCCTGCGTTGCTGAACATCACGTCCAATTTTCCGTACTGTTTCACCGTTGATTCCACCATTGATTGCACTTGATTTTCGTCCGTTACGTCGCAGAGTATGTACCTACACCTTTGGCTGCCGATCGATTCGGCAACTTGGCGTCCTCGGTCGTCTTGGATATCGGCGATTACGACTACTTTGACGCCGTTGTCGACGAACAGACGTACGGTGGACTCGCCGATGCCGCTTGCTCCGCCGGTGACAATAGCTACCTTGGCTTCAAGTTTGAGCGGCCTGGACGTGGACTGCGACATTGTGAATGGTGATCTCTACCAGGTATTCCACAAAAGGCTTGACTGAGGGGGGTGAGGGTGGGGGTTTATCTATAGTGTGTGATCCTAGCTTCTTGGACAACTCCAATTGTCCTTCAGCCATGATTAAAAGAATGTTGCATTACATAAATAATTATACAAATAATTGCCCTGAGTTGTAAAGATTGCTGCGATTTGACGGCCTTTGAATAACTTTTTCTTTTTCCAACTCTTTATCTCTTTGGATGCAATTTCTCGTTTTTCAGTTTTTTTTTTTTCTTTTCTTGTCGAATAATGAATACACAGATGAAAATACGTTAGAAAAACTTACTCACGATGTGAAAATTCACCTTGGTTAGAAAGGAAACGAATTATTTTCTATAAGACTGTAGAAACTTTTCCCTAATAAACCATTTGACTTGAACTGAATGGTATCAAAGCCTAGGACAGGAGGTGGATCATAAAATCTCATGTCGGTTAGAGAGAGAAACGAATGTGCTATGTACCAAGCCAAAATAGTATAAGCTAAGACGCTAAGCCTCTTGGGACGATCGTCAGAGGAAGAAGTTAGGGGAAGGGGGTGGGTGCCAAAACACACGAGGCAAATAAGAAGGAAACCCAAATTCACAGGAACTGTCATGAATGGACTCAAGAAACTTCCATGAAACTCAAGTCCCTCCCAACAAGAACGTGGGTTGATGAAAACTATTTGAAAGGAACTTTGTTAGACCTCAAAGTTGCTTAACATTCATGAATAATCCGAGTGAGACTCGGAGTAATCGCTCGGGTAGGGCGACATAACCTCTCGCTCTAGCAGCTGCAGTACTTGGTTCATTGTAGGCCGCATAGCCGGGTTGCCATTAGTGCACCTTGCTGCTATTTCGAGAATCGCTTCTAATGTTTCCGCATCTGCATTCTTGCACCTATTATCCACTATGTTCTCCAATGGGTCTTCTCCCCGCAGGGTGTTCAACTATAAAGGTCATGCTCATATTTAGAGGCTGAAAAAAATGCAAGAACTTGAAAATGGTGCAGAGATTAGCTTACCCAACCAACGACATTTAGGCCCCTCTTTGAGAAAAATGCATCACTTGGTCTCTTCCCTGTAACAAGCTCCAGCAACAGAACTCCGAAGCTATAAACATCAGACTTCTCAGTTCCTATCCCACTTTGCAAGTATTCTGCTCAAGAACATTTAGTTATAATTTCAGAATTGAAGTTGAATCGCCATTGTTGCTTATAAGAACGATAGAGGAAATTGGACCTGGAGCTAGATAACCAAATGTGCCAGCAACAACTGTTGTGATATGGGAATCCCCATCAACCGAAAGCTTTGCAAGACCAAAGTCCGCTACGTGCGCCTCTAAGTTCTCATCAAGAAGAATGTTGCTGGATTTTATGTTGCAGTGCACAATCTTTGGACAGCAATCATGGTGCAAGTATGCCAGTCCTCGAGCGGTGCCGAGCGCTATGTTTAACCGAGCACTCCAATCCAAACACTTCCCTGCTCCATGTTCTGCAAATAATGAAAACATAAGATTACAACGAATTGAGAACAAAGCTAGAGTTCCATACATAACGGCCCAAGTTAGAGTTTCATACGAATTGCCTTCTTTGGACTTTTCTTTCCAGGGTTTCCCCCTTGAGGTTTGAAAATGCGTTTCTTAGGAAGAGGTTTCCACACCCTTATAAGAAACGTTTTGTTCTCCTCTCCAATCGATGTAGGATCTTACAAATGGTATCAGAGCTAAACACTAAGTGGTTTAGAGAGGGGAACAAAACATTCCTTATAAGGTGTGAAAACCTCTCCCTAATAGATGTGCGTATTAAAACTAGAGAACAATATATGCTAGCGGTAGGCTTGGGCGGTTACAAGATATTTCGTGTGCGAAAAGCAATAATCAATAATGAAATAAGAAAAATGATACCGTGCAAGAAATCATCCAAGCTACCCTCTGTCAGATAATCATATATCAGAAGCTTTGAAGAAGGAAGCCTGCAATAGCCACGCAATTTCACTAAGTTTATGTGTTTAATGCTTCCCAATATCTCCAATTCTCTTTCAACTACTTGCTCTGAACCATCCTGAGTCCTATCAATTTTCTTTACAGCAAATGTTCCACGATCATTCATGACCATCCGATACACAGTGCCTAACCCGCCCGAGCCAATAACATGTGTCTCATTCAGGCCCTCCAGCTTCTCTATGATCTCACATGTTGGATATGGAAGATTTCCATGGAATGTAATAAGCTTCTCACCTGCATTGTGTTGTGAGGGTTGTCAATTGCGTCATGTATTTTGAGATAAAACTAGAAGAACCAGATTTGAATAAACCCAATAGCTCACTTGGTTCGTAGTTTCTTTGCTTCTTAACTTCCATGTAACTCTTTGCAGTTCTTTCTTTGTTTGACAGCAAACGAGTCCACATGAACACAATAAGTACGACCAACACGAACCCCGCTGTCGATATTGCACCAATCAACAGTCCCTTCAAGTAATGAGAGGGTCGTTTTGCAGGAACTGTAACATATAAAAAACAAAATTAGTATCCATGGTTCGCTTGGAATATGATTGTGGTAATAAATTCTTTAAAGTGAAATGAGAAATTGCCTGCAGCTTCATCACTTTCAGCATGTGGTAAGACGGCAGGAAATCCCAGTGAGGTCCGGCACGGCTTGTTCACTTGCCGGCCACAAAGATCTTGATTGTCAAGGAACCTGCCACATCAAGAAAGGATGATATCATTTCGAGATACAAAACGCATTGGACAACCAATTCATACGAATAGGATACATTGGGAGGCAAAGATTATGAAACGGCATGTTCCTCCTAACACCCAAGTTCTCTTTGGAATGCCATGAACAAGCCTACATGGCCACTTCGTTGATCCATTGCATACTCCTAAACCATGCTTGTATAAATCCTAAAACTAAATCTAAACCAAAAACATAATTGTGAGATCCTACATCGGTTGAAGAGAGAAACAAAACATTTCTTAAAGAGTGTGTAGAAACCTCTCCTTAGCAGACGCGTTTTAAAATCGTGAGGTTGAACGATCATACGTAACGGGTCAAAGCGGACAATATTTTGTTTGACCTATGATGGGTGGTGTGCCAGCAAGGACACTAGGTCCCCAAGGGGGTGGATTGTGAGATTCCATATTTGGTTGGAGTGGGGAATAAAGCATTCCTAAGTGTGTGTAAACCTCTCCCTAACCGATGCATTTTAAAACCATAAGGCTAACAGCAATACGCAATAGGCCAAAAGCGGACAATATCTACTAGTGGTGAGTTTAGGCTGTTACAGATGATATCAGAGCCAGATACCGGGCGGTGTGCCAGTGAGGACACTAGGTCCCCAAGGGGATAGATTGTGAGATCCCACCTCGGTTGGAGAGGGGAACAGAGCATTCCGTGTGGAAATCTCTTCCTAGCAGACGCGTTTTAAAATCATGAGGCTGACGGCGATATGTAATGAGTCAAAGCGGACAATATCAGTGATGAGCTTAAGCTGTTATAAAAACAATACGTACCTAATAGACAAAGGATTTGAACATGTATAAAAAAGAGTGGGGCTTTATAGTGTACTTACGAGTCATTCCCAAAGGTGCTAAGAACTCCAAAATCTGGGATTTCTCCAAAGAAGAAGTTGGTAGATAAATTCCTGAAATGAGTACCCATTAGCAAGAAACACAGGAAGGATATAATAGTTGTAGCAATATGAAGAACTGTAGGCATGGAAAGTTGACTCTTACAGATTGCGCAAGTGTGTGAGACGACCAATTGATGATGGTATGCTTCCCTTAAAGGAATTGCTTGATAGATCCCTACAGTTAAATCCCAGTGATAAAAATTGAGTGGCAAATAAGTTCCTCTTTTAATTGGCCATAAAGAAGAGGGGAAAAAGAGTCAAGTTTCTCACAGTATGGCAAGGTAAGAAAGGTTTCCAATATTTGATGGAATGCCACCTTCAAGATAATTAGCCCTCAGGTACCTGAATCAAAATAATGTATGATCTCCTGAATATACAAAAATGGCGGAGGGAAGACGGTACTTACAGTGCTCTAAGTTCAGAACAATTAGCAAGTTCATTGGGGATATACCCATGTAAGCCGTTTTGGTGGAGAGCCCTGATTTGACATGAGAAAGAACAGACACTTAAGTGAAGTGTATTACTCGGTGATATCAAAATAGAGAAGTAAGGTGGTGGTAGAGATGCTTACAGTCTTTGCAATCTGCTAAGTTTACCAATGCTGGGAGATATAATCCCTCCTAGTTGCATGTATGGTAGATTACTGAAGACCCCACAAACAAACAAGCATACACAAAGATTATTAAATGAATGTTCAAAAGATGGGTTAAAAGAGACTGAAGTGACATACATTGAGCTGACACGAGAGTCCTGGGGATGGCAAGAGATACCAGTCCATTTGCAGGGAGATTCATCTGAAGGGCTCCAATTACTGAGAGCGTTCTTAGTGTCGTTTAAACCACTTTTGATTTCCAACAATGTTAAACCTAAGACATGAGACAAAGTGAAACCAAACCCCTTTGAGGAAAACATAAACCCAGAAGAAAACAGGGAAGAAGAGTAGGGATTACCATCTTCAGTGAGAGAAACAGAGCAGTGGCTTAAAAGGGTTGCTGCTACAACCATGGAGAAGACACAAATGAAAAGACCCATTTCGAATGACTTTCCCAACCCGTTTCAAAAAGTGAACTACGGATTATGAATCTCTTGCAGCAGGCAGTCACCGGAGCTCATTCGCTTTAGGCGAAGAACCACTTTCAAAAATGGTTAAGACGCTTGACAATACAAAGCTTTATGATCTGACATTTACAGATGACGAGGGAGGACAAGTTTTTGAATGGGCATGGGAAATCGTGGGGAAAAGCAGTAGCCGTTTGTCCTAAGCTGAAATTTTTATTAAAAAAAAAGGTCTTTGAGATTCAAAATTCATATTGAATGACGAGATATCTGTACTGCTCCATAATCTCTGGTCTTTTTTCTAAAGAACATAACTTTCTTAGCATTTACAAGTTACAACATCAGGGAAGTGTTCACTTTTGAAGTGGGATTATTTAGAGCTACAATGGGAAAGGTGGCGTTGGGTGCGTTTGTTTCAAATCAGCTGACCGATTAGAAGTTCTTACTTGCTTAGCTAAACAGTGTTTATTCAGTTTCAGCCCAGATAACACAGCCCACTTTTCCCCTAAAAGGGAAGTCATTCAAATCCCTGCTGCCCGACGGTAACGCCTAGTATATATTGTCTTCTTTGAACTTTCTTCTTCAGGTTTTCCGTCAAAGCTTTAAAACACGTCTGCTAGGAGAAAGTTTCCACACCCTTATAAATTGTGGTTTGTTCTCCTCTCCAACCAATGTGGGACATCACAATCCACCCCTTCGGGACCAGCTTCCTCGCGTACTCTTTCCTTCCTCCCATCGATGTGGGACTGCCCCCAAATCCACCCCCTTTGGGGCCAGTGTCCTTACTGGCACACCGCCTCGTGTCTACCTCCTCTTTTGGGAAGAGTGAGAAGGCTGACACATAATCCGATGTCTAGCTCTGATATCATTAGTAATGCACTAGATCCACCGTCAGCAGATATTGTCCTTTTTGGGTTTTCCCTTTCGGGTTTCCTCTCAAAGTTTTAAAACGCGTCTGTTAGGGGAGGTTTCCACCTTATAAATGATGGTCTGTTCTTCTCTCAACTAATGTGGGACATCACACCAACTTTACATACAAATAGAAAAAAGTATACTTGCATAATGCTCAAACTAGCAAACATTGACGTAACCACTTAAAAACAACAATATCTGTTAACAGTGAATTTCAGCTACACTTAACAGTGTTCTAGTGAGGATGTTGAGCCTCTAAGAGAGTGGATTGTGAGATTACACATCAGTTAGAGAGAACAACAAAATATTTCTTATAAGAGTGTAGAAACCTTTTAAAATCATGAAACTGACGGCGATACTTAGACAATATTTGATAGCGACATGTCTAAATGCATTTATATAAGAAACAAAAGGTTAGTGTTTTTCATGTCAAAATTTAGTGCAACTTATTTCGAGTTTGAATTAGTTATGGAATATATGATATTCCTAATCTTGAAAAATATATTAGTTAGAGAATATATCTTAGATATTCGTAGTCGGTTTAGGTTTGATTGGTAGTATATTTTATTTTATTCTCAAGATTTGTTAGTTTATATTTTCTTTATAGATATTATTTAGTATCTTGTATCCTATTTAAAGGTTGTGAATATCAATGAAAATGAAGAACTTTTGATCCCAATTCTATTTCTTATTCTTAGATCTGTATTCTTTAGTTGTTGAGTAATAATATTTTCATATCTATTCACACTTTTGAGTGGTAGATATTGCATCATTCCACGCCATTATGAAATCTCTAACTTTAATCGTTAATTATTTAAGATAGGATTGAACTGCGACGTCTCAAAGCTTGACTTTTTAAACGTTTCCACTGCTCACACTTCAACTTGTTGACCACTTTGTCGTTCTGTTTTAACCCAATCACAGCACCTGGAGCCTCAAGAACGTCTCTTTGAGCAACTTTCTGCTATAACACCAAAATTACATTCAATATCATTCCTTGTCACCCAAACTAATCTTTGAAATTTGTTTCGTTTAGACCAATACTACTATTCATATTGGGAAGCTGACCAATATCTAAGAAAATATTCATTTTATGTAATAAAGTAACGGACAATATCTTTGTTCATACGGGATTTATAAAATTCAAACCAAGAACGAAGTTATGTACCGAGAGAGGTAGTCAAAAGAAAGGAATACCTCTATAATATCATACCATTGTGGATATATAGAGTCGGTTGACGTGCTCATATTAATTTGTTGAGTAAATATCTCCAATTATAGAACTAGAAATCTAGTTGGATTGAGATGCTTTTACTTTTCTGTGCATGCTGATTGAAAGGGATATTTTGTCACTTTCAAGTTGAATTTTATTTTCCATCCTTTGAAAAAAACACTCTCAATTAATAAGCATACTCTCTGTAATGTGACTGGTTTTTAGTGATGGTTCCTCCTTACATGCAAGATCCCACATCAGTTCGAGAAGGGAACGAAGTATTTCTTATAAAGGTGTGAAAATCTCTCCCTAACAAACGCATTTTAAAATCGTGAGGCTGACAACGATACATAACATGCCAAAGCAGATGATATTTGTTGGAGGTGGGCTTAGACTGTTACAAATTGTATCAGAGCTAGACACCAACAGTGTACCAGCAAGGGCGTTGAGCCCTCAAGGGGAATGGATTATTGTGAGATCCCATGTTGGTTGGAGAGGGGAACGAAGTATTTTTTACAAGAGTGGAAATCTCTCCATAACAAACACATTTTAAAACCGCAAGGTTGACGGCAATATATAACTGGACAAAGTGGACAACATCCGCTGCCTTCCATCTCATCTCTAAAGAATCCTCCACCAGGACCAGAGGACTTCTAACATATGGAGCTAATTCTAGATTACATGCAAGTCCCCACTCTCTAACAATAACATTTTATTATATCAGTTGCTCTGTTTGGGACCATCAACCTCTAGGAAATATGGCATTTTATGTGCTTCAGAAAACTGAGGCAGCCATTAATGAAGTCCCTCACCTCAAAATCTACAGTACAAATCATTAAGTTACAATCAGTTGAATGTGGTAATTGAATGGTCCATGCAACTGTTCTTACAGAAAACAACAGTGCTTCTTGTATGAGCTCAAAGCTGTCCCGTTAATTCAGCAAAAAAATTTGAAACCTTGAGAGGCAATGGATTGCTGTGTGTGCAGGCCAGGAATAGCAGTTTCACAGCCTGTGCCTTCCTTCACTGTGAGGGGCTTTGGCATTAACTGGGATTCCTGCAAAACAGCACTTACAATAAGGACATTCAAACAACTTCATCTGATACCATTTTGAGCTAATGTTAATCTAACAACTTTGATAATCCTGCACACATTTCACTTTCTCATTACATCTTTGTCCTCACTACTATTCAGGGAAGAACATATCACAAATCTTTGAAAGCTAACAAAAAATAGTTATCTGGATCCAACACTTCATATGCTGATACACCCCATCAGAATTGACCACTTGTCGCAGATGCAATTCTGAAAGTATACATGTAAGATCTCACATCGGTTGGGGAGGAGAACCAAACATCATTTATAAAGGTGTTGAAACCTCTCCTTTTGCTTACTCAACCTATCATGCTAGCGGTGGGTTTGATCTGTTACAAATGGTTTCAGAGTCAGACACCAGGCAATGTGCTAGCAAAGAGGTTGAACCCCGAAGGAGGGTGGACAAGAGGCGGTGTGCCAGCAAAGATGCTGGGCTGCGAAGGGGGTGGATTGGAGGGTCCCACATCGATTGGAGAAGGGAATGAGTGCCAGCGAGGTCGCTGGGTCCCGAAGAGGGTGAATTGTGAGATCCCACGCCATTTAAAGAGGAGAATGAAACACCCTTTATAAGGAGTGTCATCGAGTACGATGGGCCCCGAAGAAGGTCGATTGTGAGATCGCACATTGGTTGGGAAGGAGAACGAAACACCTTTTATAAGAGTGTGGAAACCTCTCCCTAGAAGACGTGTTTTAAAAACTTTGAGGAAAGCCTAAAATAAAACTCAAAGAGGACAATATCTGAGCCATTAAACTCAATAGTGGATGACAGTATAAAAGAAGCTGTGTCGAAGAGGGTAAGATGAAGATACTCAATAGTGGATGACAGTATAAAAGAAGTTGTGTCGAAGAGGGTAAGATGAAGATCAGAGAGTGGTTCTGAGTGAGAGGCATGGAGAGAAATAATGAAGATGTTCATAATCTTGATGAGGCTAAGGTCAATTATAAAGGAGTCAAGGCCTTGCCATTTGTAGTAGGTTCGTAACATACCTCAATTTGTTTTGTTTTGATACATGTAATGCTAATTAGTACGTGGGTTTGTTGATTTAGGGAATGAAACTTTTGAGAAGCTGGGGACTACGGGCACTTCTTCAAACCTTTTGGTGTATTTGACAGATGTATTTCATATGAAAACCATCACTGCCACCACTCTTATGAACATTTTCCACGGCAGCACCAACTTTTCCACTTTGTTTGGAGCATTTCTTTGTGACACTTATTTTGGACGTTACAAGACCTTAGGATATGCCTCCATTGCTTCATTAATGGTACGCCTGCTGCTATTGTTTCACTTTCTCTTATAAAAACATATATAAGGATTGAATAATTTGGTTGCTTTCATGTCCCTGATCACTCGCACAGGGGATGGTTGTACTTACACTGACAGCAACAATTGAGAGGCTGCACCCACCAGACTGTGGAAAGGGCAGTGCCGCAGGCGGGGCTTGCCTAGAGCCAACGCCATGGCAGATAGCATTTCTGTTATTTGGATTGGGACTGCTCATAATCGGAGCTGGGGGTATCAGACCCTGCAACTTGGCGTTTGGAGCCGACCAATTCAATCCCAACACAGCCTCCGGGAAGTTGGGAATAAACAGCTTCTTCAACTGGTACTACTTCACCTTCACATTTGCCATGATCATATCTCTCACCATCATTGTGTATGTCCAAACTGAAGTCAGCTGGGCTTGGGGATTGGCAATCCCTGCGTTCCTCATGTTCCTGTCCTGTGCACTTTTCTTCATGGGTTCTTGGATTTACGTCAAATTGGAACCCCAAGGGAGTCCTTTCACCAGTGTGATGCGAGTCCTAGTGGCTGCTCTCAAGAAAAGGCGCCTGCCTTCGCCGGACCAGCAATGGCCATCTCTTTTTAACCACATTCCCTCAAACTCCATCAATTCCAAGCTTCCTTACACTGATCAATTCAGGTGGGTCTCCACTTTCAAAGTTTGAGTCTTTGGTTAAAAGAGAATAACCCCTTTTATTGCTTTCAGCTTCCTAAACAAGGCGGCAATCATAACCCCAGAAGACAAATTCAAGTCAGATGGCTCTGCAGACGATCCATGGACACTCTGCAGCACACAACAAGTGGAAGAAGTGAAATGCTTGGTGAGAGTGATACCAATATGGGGTGCAGCCATAATGTACCATGTCGCCACCACGCAGCAACAAACATACGTCGTCTTCCAAGCCCTCCAATCCGACAGGCGCTTGTTCTTCGGGAACACTCATTATTTCAAAATCCCAGCCGCCTCCTACACCATATTCACAATGATTGGCCTCACCATCTGGATCCCTTTCTACGACAGAATCGTAGTCCCTTCTCTGCGCCGAATCACCTCTAGAGAAGGCGGCATCACGCTCCTTCAAAAAATGGGGATTGGAATGGTCATTGCCATTGTAACCATGTTCATCTCAGCATTAGTGGAACAAAAGAGGAGGAATCTGGCCCTCACACAGCCCCTGTGCGAAGAAACAGGGAGAAGGGCTGCAATTTCTTCCATGTCTGCGCTCTGGTTGGTCCCTCAACTGACGCTGATTGGGTTGTCCGAGGCGTTCACCGTTATTGCCCAAGTCGAATTTTACTACAAGGAGTTCCCTGAGAACATGAGGAGCATTGGGGGGTCGTTGTCTTTTGTGGGTCTTGCGCTGTCGAACTATTTGAGTGGGTTCATGGTGACGGTGGTGCACAGCCTCACCACCGGCAACTGGCTGCCGGAAGATCTGAACGAGGGGCGATTGGATTATTTCTATTTCATGGTGTCGGGATTGGAAGCCGTGAACTTGGGGTACTTCGTGTTGTGTTCTAAGTGGTACAAGTACAAGGGGAGTGGAAGCCATGGCGTTGATGAGATGGACTTTGGGAAGACAGAATTTGAGAAAACTGTGGTTTATTGAGTGATGACTGCGATTGTGTCGTTATTTGCAGCTTCCTTTCCCGTTTATGTTTTACGAATGAATATTGATAATGTAACGTCAAATCGGATTTTGGTTGGGATTATGTTCTTATATGGACCTTCCTTACTTCTCTTATATGAATCAACATCTTAATGTAATAACCTCTCCCACCATGATTTTGATCCTTATACAGTCAGCCAATCACAAACACATGCACTAAATTTAAATTAAACGTTAAAAATAATATAACTTTTTTTTTTTATCTCTACTACACGCGTTTCAAGGTGATATCTAACCGGCCCAAGTGAATAATATATGCTAATAAATAAGCTCGCTCAATCAGTAACAATTTTCCAAATTTTTTAAGGAAAAAACTTCCTAAAATTAGTGAGACATTAATATTATCTCAACAATTTCAACTCTTTCTCTATTTAAATTAAATGCAATCCACTCATTTTGTCATTAAACCTTGACTTTATAGCCTTTTAAAGTAAATGCGTATAATAAGAGGACTGCATTCATTCTTTTCTTTTACTCTTTGTTTTACTACTTTAAAAAAAAGGGTATGTGACGTAATTATGTGGTATTAACTTATCTTTACTAAAGAACAATTTTTTATAATATGGTCGAAATACATTATGTGTTTTCATTTATGTGCACCAAACGTGTTTAAATTGATTATTGGTTCACCTTTTCTCAGTATTACAAATTTTGATCAATCAAGAAAGCATGTGGGGACGAATTGGTGAGAGGTCATCCTCGTCATTTTACTTTTTCTACTCATAGATTATGGCATTGTGCTCTCTTTCAATATATACCATCAATTATTGATCATATTCTAAAAATATGTACATGAATGAAAGTGACCTTTTTTTTTTTTTTTTTTAATTTTATATATTGCGTATCTTCACCTTTTCATTAGGTTCTAAGTTTTTTTACGAGAATTAATTTGTAAGTTTTGTTCTTATACTTTAAAAAATGATTAACTTAGATACCCGACGTTCAATATGGTAATTAGTAGTTTTTTTAAAATAAAAATCAACAAGTGTATAGCAAAGTCATTGGATGTAACATTCTAAGTTAGGATTTGGATTCCATGTTGGTTGGAAATGGGGACTAGACTTTTTTATAAGGGTGTGGAAACTTATCCGTTAAAACATTCCTTATATTCCAAATCAGATATAAGGAATGTTTCGATTGAAGAGGGAAACAAAACATTTCTTATAAAGGTGTAGAAATCTATCTGTAGTAGACATGTTTTAAAACAGTAAAACTGACTAGGATAGTTAAGGGGCCGAGGTGGACAATATCTGCTAGCGGTGGGCTTGGATTGTTACAAATGATATTAGAGCCAATCACTGAGCAGTTTGCCATCGAGGACATTGGACTCTCAAGGAGGGAGGGTGGATTGTGAGATCTCACATCGGTTAGAGAGAGGAACATAACATTTCTTATAAGCGTGTGGAAACCTCTCTCTAACAGACGCGTTTTAAAACCATGAGGCTGACGGCCATATGTAACGAGTCAAAGCAGATAATATTTACTAAAGGTGGGCTTGGGCTGTTGCAAATAGTATCAAAGTTAGAAATCGAGTGGTGTGACAGCGAGGATGTTTGCTCACAAGGGGGTGGATTGTGAGAGGTGAGATCACACATATAGGTTGCAAAGGGGAACAAAGCATTCCTTATAAGAATGTGAAAATCTCTTTCTAGTAAACACGTTTTAAAACTATGAGGCTGACCGTAATATGTAACCGGCCAAATCGGACAAGTCAAAATTCTAAATTAGAAGGTTTAAGTAGTTGAATTAAAAGAAGATGACATGGAAGCTAGAATTAGATTTGCAACAAAGTAAAAGTATGGGTAAAAATTGTGTGTGTAAAAGTGAGTAGAGTGGGTTGGATTAGATCGGTGGCAGCAACCAAGCAATTGTATAGACCGAAAATGTCCACATGTTATTGACAGAGTCGTGACCAAATTTTGTGGAAATGATCGGAGTTTGTCCTGAGGTTGGCAGTGGGCTGCACTGTAGTGGCGTGGTCCAATTTCGCTACGCAAGCTGACTCCTCTTGTTTAGGCCTTCATCCAGACAAGCAGTGTGAATTGCATTTCCTAAACGACACCACACCATTGAAGTAAGAGACCCCTGTTTTGTATTCTAATCACACTTCAACTTCATCCACAAATATTGGGATAAATACCCCAAACTCGTTCCAAGCTGCAAAGCACACACACAAACTCAAAGAACATGGAGAAAAATGAAGCAGCAGCGCCTCCACAAAACGATGGTGGGGAGACCCAGAAACATTACAGAGGCTGGAAGGCCATGCCTTTTGTCATAGGTGAACTTCGGCTCTGCTCTGTTCTGTGTTCTGTTCTGCTCTGTTCTGTTCTGTTCTGTTTCATGTCTTATTATTGTTTATGTTCTTTTTCCTACAGGGAATGAGACTTTTGAGAAGCTGGGAGCTATTGGAACCTTGGCGAACCTCTTGATTTATCTGACGTCGGTCTTCAACATGAAGAGCATAACAGCAGCAACACTACTCAATATCTTCAATGGCTGCACCAATTTGGTCACTTTGTTGGGAGCTTTCCTCTGTGATACTTACTTTGGGCGCTATAAGACCGTGGGGTTTTCAATTGTCGCTTCTTTCTTGGTACTTTCCCAGATATCCAAACATAAATCCTTTTCCCATTTCCCATCTTCAAATTTTGTATCATTAACGTTTGTTTTCAATTCAAGGGGTTGCTTCTAATTCATTTCACAGCAGTATTCAAGAATTTGCATCCACCGCACTGTATAGCAGATGTGTGTAAAGGGCCAACAGCAGGGCAGATGACTTTTCTAATGGCTGGATTTGGGCTGATGATAATTGGCGCTGGTGGCATTCGACCATGTAATTTGGCGTTTGGAGCTGATCAGTTCAATCCAAATACAGAAGCTGGGAAGAAAGGAATCAACAGCTTTTTCAATTGGTATGTTTTCACCTACACTTTCGCGATGATGATATCACTGACAGTCATAGTTTACGTGCAAACGAACGTCAGCTGGGCTCTGGGATTGGGAATTCCAGCAGCTCTCATGCTCATTGCCTGTATACTCTTCTTCGTGGGCTCTAAAATCTACGTGAAATTGGAAGCCACTGGCAGTCCAATGACCAGCGTTGCACAAGTTTTAGTGGTTGCTATTAAGAAAAGAAAACTCAAGCAACCAGACCAACCATGGCTTTCCCTCTTTGACTACACAACTCCAGGCTCCATTAACTCAAAACTTTCCTATTCAGACCAATTCAGGTATAAAACCCTTAACCCCTTTTACACTTCGAACATATAACTTGACTTAGAGTCGATTTGGAATGACTTTTTTAAAAGACCCGGTGACAACATAAATCGGTGTTTGGTGAACAGATTTCTGGACAAAGCAGCAATTATAACTGAAGAGGACCAAATAAAGGAGGATGGATCAGCAGCAGATCCATGGAGGCTTTGCAGTATGCAGCAAGTGGAAGAAGTGAAGTGTTTGATGAGAGTGCTACCAATATGGATGTCAGGAGTTCTATACTTTGTTGCTCAGTTACAACTACAAACTTATGCAGTATTTCAAGCCCTTCAGTCAAACAGGCGCCTAGGAAACTTCACAATCCCAGCTGCATCCTACACAGTCTTCGCAATGCTAAGCCTCAGCTTTTGGCTCCCCATCTACGACAGAATCATAGTCCCTTTCCTTCAAAAAGTCACCAAAAAAGAAGGCGGAATCACCACTCTCCAAAGGCAAGGGATTGGCATTTTTTTGGCCATACTCACAATGCTTTTGTCTGCCATAGTTGAAGATCGAAGAAGAATCATTGCTCTTACAAAGCCAACAGTGGGAATTGAGCCACGAAAAGGGGCAATTTCATCGATGTCAGCTTCGTGGCTGATTCCTCAGCTCTTATTATATGGGTTGTCTGATGGGTTTGGGGCAGTGAGCCAATTGGAATTTTACTACAAGCAATTCCCAGAGAATATGAGGAGCATTGGAGGGTCAATGTTCTTTTGCGCCATGGCAGTTGCTAGCTATTTGAATGGGCTGTTGATAACAGTGGTTCATAGGATGAGCAGAGGATCCAAGTATGGAGATTGGTTGCCTGAGGATCTCAACAAGGGGAGATTGGATTACTTTTATTACTTCGTTGGTGGCATTGAGTTACTCAATTTGTGCTACTTTCTGGTTTGTGCAAAGTGGTACAAATATAAAGAGGCTCCCCAAAATGCCTCTGAAATTCACATGGCATCAAAACAACCAGAGAAAAGTAGTGTTTAGTATACAAATATCTTCAGGGCTTAAGCAACGAGCAAACTAACCCTGTTTCCAGATGTAGATCTTAGAGGTCATAAATTATTAAGAGTGGCATGGCAGTGTAGAGTAAATCTTACAAAACCAGGTGACTGTGGAGGGCCATCCTTGTCTGACATTGATCCACACAAAACAAGAAAAAATGGAAAAAAAATTTCGCAGCTTTGTGTTCGGCTTTAGTTTGCCTTTTCAAGCTTCAACACCACAAACTTTGATGGGATAATCACCAGAATATTACCATTTATACCAAGTGCGTGAATGGATTGAGTAAGACTTTCATAAATTTTACGCGTGATATGGTTCACTTTTGATATAATTCAAGTCGTCATTGCTTTGGTTTGATTTCACTCAAAAGATTACATGTTAGAGATATTGTCCTCCATTGTATAGATGTAGGTTTTCCTTGTCGGACCAAAGTTTGCATTCCCAATAATTATTATTCTATTATCTAATGTCGACTCATTCTATGGTCTAGAGGTACCTTAACTAACTCAAACTGGCTCTAGAGCAGGCTCATATGAACATATTAACGTCGATTAGGTGGGTGCACATTCTGATCAAAGCCAACCAATAAAGGTTGAAACCAAATTAAGATGAGTAGTTGAAAATAATTGAGTTTTATTAAGACGTTAAGAATTCAACACGTTTGCCTTTTTCGATAATTTGATAGCCATTTTGTTGTAAAGTGACGAGGCCAGATTGTAGGCTGGATATCCTATGGCTATATATAGAGTATGGACCCAATTCATCCTAAAATGGTCGAACGTATCTATTTCAGATTGCTGTATGTGTTCCTCCATCTTAGAGGTAGC